CAATGGCCATATCTCAGCTCACTGCAACCTCTGCCTCCTGGGTTCAGGCAATTCTCCTGCCTCAGCCTCCTGAGTAGTCAGGATTATAGGCATGCGCCACCACGCCCAGCTAATTTTTTGTATTTTTAGTAGAGACGGGGTTTCACCACGTTGACCAGGATGGTCTCGATCTCTTGACCTCATGATCCACCCGCCTTGGCCTCCCAAAGTGCTGGGATTACAGGCTTGAGCCACTACGCCCGGCCTCATTTAATGTAGCCATAGAAAACAAAGGTAATCGTGAAGAAAATGAGTGATGATGAGGGTATTGTTTTGACCCAAGGTCACAGTTGGAAGAAGCTTGAATGAGGAATAAGTTTGATATCATTACTTTATTTTTGTTTGACACTTTAAAAGCTTAAACACATCATTCAAACACACTATCTAGTCAGTTTAATTCAGCAAGTATTTCCTGGATGCAACTGATATAACACTTTATGTGATAGAATGCATTGACTACCAGGCACCGTATAAAAATTACGTAGCACATTTAAAGTAAGCTTCTCAACCACCCTCTGAGGGAAGTAGAGTTGGAGAAACAGGTTCAAAGACATTGAGTAACTTGGTCATGGCCTCACAGCATGTCATTAGTAGAACTGAGATTGAACCCAGGTCAGCCCCACTCCAAAACTTGCAATTCTTCCGCTCTGTCCTTAAGGAGCTATAAAATCATAAGAAATACAGAATAGAGAGAGATGTGTTTCACCCACAAATTACCTCTGCAGCAGATTAATTGTTGTACAAGCAAAGTAGGATCACATGGCATTGATGAGATGAACTAAAAGAACCAAGTTCAAAGGAGAAAAATTATACTTAAATCAGGAGCTAGGAAGTCCTATGTAAGGAAGAGAACATTGAGGGTTGGGTAGGCATGTGAAAGGCAATGGCGTGGAGATTCTTGTCGCCAGCTGTCACGTATAAGGAAGCTGAAGTTTGAGCACTCTGAAGGCTTGTCCAAGTTTTCACAGCTGATTGTGGTGACATTAGAAATACAGGGAAATGGCTGGGTGCGGTGGCTCACGCCTGTAATCCCAGCACTTTGGGAGGCCAAAGCGGGTGGATCACGAGGTCAAGAACTCGAGACCATCCTGGTCAACATGGTGAAACCACGTCTCTACTAAAAATACAAAAAATTAGCTGGGCATGGTGGCGTGTGCCTGTAATCCCAGCTACTCAGGAGGCTGAGGCAGGAGAATTGCCTGAACCCAGGAGGCAGAGGTTGCGGTGAGCCGAGATCGCGCCATTGCACTCCAGCCTGGGTAGCAAGAGCAAAACTCCATCTCAAAAAAAAAAAAAAAAAAAAAAAAGAAAGAAGTACAGGGAAATGACTTTTAGGAGTCAGAAACTAGAGATAAAGTGAAACAAAGAAATAACAAAATCAGTACGGACAGGAACCAGAACTTAATATGTGGACATAAGGGAATAATAGAAATAGATGATGAGTATGGAACCAATTCTGCTTTTCTCTCTTCTGCTTTATAGATAATGTCTTCCTTCTAAGTAACTCTTTCTTTTTTAGTCTCCCTTGGTCTTTATTATTGAAGATGTTGGTCACATTACCTTTCAATCTCTTTGGAAACTAGATCTAAATTTCTGCCAACTTAAATACTCATACTTTGACTCTCACATGCTAATATCATTACTGCTGAGAGCCTAGTTAGGTGGTGATGTTTACCTTCTAATACTCCTCTGGTTTTTGAGCTATTGGGCATCCCGTTTAGATCTTTGGATACTGGGAATATACTTATGGTCCACGTATTGACCACTCATATAGGAGCTCATCTGCATTTTGGGTTTTGAGTCATTCGTACATTTGTTCACTTCTATTTTTGGCATTTGTTAGGAATGGCATTTATTTTATTTTTTCTATTTTCTTGTACTTCAGTTTTATCTGGACAAATTTTAATGTAAATCAAACATATTCAAAAGTGTCATCATGAGAGTATTCTTTACAAATTTCACTGCAACATTAAATTCATTAACGTTTACTTCTTCTCTACTCACTATTTGGCAGTGAACAAACCAAGTCAGCCACAATTTCAAGAAAGAAGTGAATTTAAAGACACTGGATTATCAGATGGTCTTCTCATTATAGGTGCTTCATCAATTTTGATATCCCACTCTTCCATTTCTTCCAATTCAACTTTCTTTCTTGCTTTCCAATGTTTTGACCTCATAGAGGCATAGTGTTCTTATTTCTCCATTCCCTTCCTTGTCCTAACTTCTCTTCCTGCCCTCTTCAATCTGAGTCCAAAGCCGGTCTTCACAATTCTCTTAATCCTCTGATGTAACCTTTCCGGTGAAGTGACAGTAGTAGTGTTTTCATCTATTTTCCCCCCTTCCCTAGTGGTTGGTATAAGCTGGAGAGAATCACGTAACTGTGCGGGTTGGGGCCATGACAAATCCATGTTTTCTAACCTCATCCATATTTCTAAACCCTCACCTTTATTTCCCAAATGGTCACTTAATGTCTGGCCCCCTCAATTTTCAGCAGATGGCCTTGTCTCCCTCCTGCTTCATCAAGAACATTGAAGTCATCAGTCTTGACTTCTGTTTATCTTCTATGAAAACATTTATATCTGTACTTAATTTTGTCATCTACTTCATCCTAGAGTGAGAGTTTAAGGCGCTTTAGTTCAAGACCATCCTTTCTACCTATGCTTTGACCTCTTCCTACCTGCCTCTTTCAGGATTTCTTACAATGCCATTCCCTTTCTCTCCAATAACTTGAAATTTTCTCTCTCCCCACTAGCTCCTTCCTTTCTCCTTTACCTCTTTAGGCAGAACTCAGGTTCTTCTAATCTAATTGTATCCAAAAAACATTTCCTTTACACACCCCTATTTACTCCTCAAAACACTAAAATCGTTTGAGGGTATCATTAATCTACAGAAGGTTCTAATATCAAGGTTGGCCAATGACCTCCTTATGTTAAGCCTAGTAGGTATTTTTTTCAGGTCTTGTTTTCCTAGATCCCATGGCCTTACAGTACTATCGATTATTAATTTTTTACCTTGGCTTCTAAAATCCCATAAACTTCTCAGAGTCTGTTAGTTCCCTGGTTTTCTAAATGGAACCCCGCTTACCTTTCCTCATTGTACCTATTCTGCATAGGTCATTGCATCTACTCGCACAGATTCATTTTTTGCCCTCTGAGGAAGATTTGTTTCTAAATTTTTGGTCTATTTTTCTCCCTAGAGTTTAAGGCTCATTTAAGTTGGTTTCATTTTTTACATATCCCTGGGTACTTAGAACTCAACATGCAAAAACGCAATTTATCATCTCTCTTTCTTCAAGCCAGATCTTCTAACTGTACTCATTGGTAGAGTTAGTAGAATCATGCCCCACTCAGTTCGAGCAGGCTAAACGCTTGAAGTCATCTTTGACTCTTCGTTCTCCCTTCATTCGTAACACAACCAATATCTTATTTAGTCTTTTTACTGATCATTGACTTTGTCCCTATCTTCTCTGTTCCCATTGATTTTTGTCCTTTTGTTGTCTCACCTGAACTGAGGCAAGAACATTCTAAATAACCACTTTACCCACAAACTGACATGCTATAAATTCTTCCATCACACAACTTTCGGATGTACCAATACAAAGCAAAGTCTGGCTGTACCCATCTCATGTTTCAAATCCTTTAATACTAACTGGGGTGATAAATACAGTATTCCACACGTGATAAAATTGTATAAAATAAAATACATACATTTATACTCACATTCAGATAAGCATAACTGAAGATTGATGAGCCAGATCAGTGGATTTTATCAATGTCACTAACCCAGTTTGGATATTATATGGTCATTTTACAATATGTTGCTATTGAGGGAACTATGTAAAGGAGATATGGGATCTCTCTGTATTATTCCTTACAAGCACATGAATCTACAATTACCTCAATTTAAAATTCATTCAAAATATTTTGAGAGAGATATATATTATTTAAAATATTTATATATAAATGATATCTATATTTTATATATGTAAACAGGTTATATTCACAGGATAATTATTATGCATATTAACAGGATGTATATATTAGCAGGAGCAGTAATAATTAAGAACTTAGCTAATTTTATCCTGGGATAAAATTAGTCTACTGATTATCACAACAAATCCCATATTAAGATGATCTGTCCAGATAATATTTAGATTTGGAGAGTGCACCTTCTCAGAAAGCTAATGATGTTTTCCTCCAAATATATAAAGAGGAAGGTTTAAAAAAAAGTAAAACAGACTTGAGTGTGCAGCTCAAAAAATGCAAGCAGAAACAGGATTCACTTGCGAAATGTTCAGATGTTTGCTTATTATTAAGTCTAACATGCGATTCTACACTTTAAGAACCACCCACACATCAAGGCAAGTAACTGGGGATTAAAACATTTAAAAAAAATTAGGTGCACAGGTTTGAGTTTATTGTCCTTGAGTATGATGCTAAGATTGTAGTTATGAAAGAGATGATTAATCTGAAGATAAAATTTAAATTTTCTGAGCTAGTTTCTGTTTCCTGGTTCTATTTCTTACCTGTTTCCTGGTTCTATTTCTTATCTTCCCAAAATGGGCAGATAATCAGTTGAGACTCTTATAAAATGGGTCTAATAATAGGTCAGACTTGCTGTCAAGTTTAATGAGGAGATACTTTCTTTTTGAAATCTACAGAATATGGATGTTGGATAGTAGAGGTATAGAGCATAATAATATTATTAGGAAAGGAGAGCTTTGATAAAAGATGTAATTGTCTAGCTTTGGATGTCTGCCTGATTTTATGGCAAAATTGGATTCATGACACTGCCCGAAGAAATAAATGTCAGTTATGCAACTTGTAACATGTGCCACATATATACCTGCATGATTTTATAGATTCACTTGATGTTTTCATGATAGAGTATGCTTTAATTTAAATATTCAGTATCATGAAATACAGAAAGTATAACACTAGTTTCATTTTTGTCCTTTTAAGTTACGTAGAAACCCCAGCTCATTTCTCTTGGAAAGAAAGTTACTACCGATCCACCATGTCCCAGAGCACGCAGACAAATGAATTCCTCAGTCCCGAGGTTTTCCAGCATATCTGGGATTTCCTGGAACAGTAAGTATAAAACAAGCAAAAAATGTTGTGTTTGAGCTAAATAAGTAAATACGTAAATGTGGATGGTCAAAATGCTGCTTACTAGGACATGTTTTTTTCTAGAACCAATAGAAGTTATTTAGGAAAAGTTAATGACTCCAATGCCATCTCTTTGTTAAATTCAGTGGTGACTGTTTTCAGTTTCTAACACCAAAAGATCCTTAGTAATCCAAAGTGATGTAATTTTAGAGGGCCTCAAGCCTCCTGCACCAAAATCACTTCCCCAGTGTTGCTTTGATACTTCAAATCCGTTCGGTTGAAGACTCACCTACTTTATAATGCAGGTACTCCCTGAGAAGATAAAACTTCTCAGGGAGTAGTTTAAAGATGAAAGTGCTTGTTGTTAACAACAGCATGAGTATGTTTTAGTCCAACTAAATTTTGTTGTTCATTTATACCTTGCTGTAAAAAGTATTATTTCTTTATTACAAGCAGGTTTGGGTAAGTGAATCAGTTAAGAAGCTGAAGAAAGTATATGAGCACACTGGAGACTCTTAAGAATAGAGTATAAAGTACTCTATCTCAGATACGTCCATTATTTCCTGCAGTCTACCCAGTAATTATCTAAGCGGGGCAGAGGTCACGATCCCATTTAACTAATGCAGGTTGAATTTGAACTGCTTGAAATTACACATTGGATAAATGGTTGAGCCAGGACTCAAACCTAGGGTTTCTAACTCCAAGCAAGTGAAGAGCCTTGAGCCTTGCTGACTTTAAGCAGAAAGTGCTTGTTGTTAACCACAGCATGAGTATGTTTTAGTCCCTTTTCATGCCTAACACACTTTTTTCTTTCCTATGTGTTAGGCCTATATGTTCAGTTCAGCCCATTGACTTGAACTTTGTGGATGAACCATCAGAGGATGGTGCAACAAACAAGATTGAGATTAGCATGGACTGTATCCGCATGCAGGACTCCGACCTGAGTGACCCCATGTGGGTGAGTGGCATGGGCTTTCTCCTTAGTCTTTGGGCTGTGCTATCTATAGCTCTGTGAAATCTGACTTTTCAATAGCCTGTAAAAAGGCAGGTGGCTTTGAATGGGCAAGGCCTTTGGGAAGAGAGTGTCAACATGGGTAGCTGAGAGGAGATTAGGAGTGGTTTATGGATTTTGGTTCTGCCTCAAATGTCTATAATATATATATATATATGTTTCCATTGGTGTGGGGAGGGCGATTCTTTACATCTTTTATCTTCGTTATTCCTCATGTCAACCCCAATTTAGAACAGATAGTACCAGCCCAAGGTTTTCTAGCTGGTAGGGACAGAGAAAGAATCAGAAATTTATTTTATTTATGTATATATATATTTATTTACTTGACAGTGTCTCACTCTGTCACCCAGGCTGGAATGCAGTGGCATGATCTTGGCTCATTGCAACCTCTGGTTCCCTGATTCAAGAGATTTTCCTGCCTCAGTCTCCCAAGTAGCTTGGATTACAGACATGCACCACCACAACTGGCTAATTTTTATATTTTTAGTAGAGACAGGGTTTTGCCATGTTGGCCAAGCTGGTCTCAAACTCCTCCTGGTGTCATGTGATCTGCCCATCTCAGCCTCCCAATGTGCTGGGATTATAGGCGTGAGCCACTGTGCCCAGCCAAGAATCAGATTTCAGATCTGAGTCCTATCCAGAGCACTTCCTACTATGACAAACTACCTCTCTGTCCTTCTTTAATTCAGGAGGAAGAGATACATTCTATGTGCATATGCAGGTTTAAATAACTGGTAATAGATTAAGAGGAAAGAAAAAAAAAAGCTAATACACAAAACAGGCTTTTCTTGGCTGTACCACTGAGTCACTCATAATTTTAGGCCCCAGTTTCTTATTTATAAAGTGGTAAGATCATAGGTGCTACATACTTCCCAGGTAAACTAAGGAGTTTAATGGGTTAATGATATTAAGACGCCTTTCTGAGATGTTTAGGTGAGAATTCCTGTGTTTGTGGAGTTTCATAATTCTGGTAGATTTTCTTTTATTATCATTTATTTACCATACAAGTCCTGCTGTCTTTTCTATCAAGGATTTCTGGAAAAATAATGAGGGGAAGCTAGAGAGTCGGGTATCGTAGCATATCTATTGACAAGATTAGGGGAATTATTTTAAAATGCCTTGTCTTGTTTGAGACGTTTTATTGGAAATTTTGCTACGTCTTTTTTTGATATGGAATGTACTGTTTAATATTGGGAGAAGGTAAAGTGGAGAAAGACAAGAGGAAAGAAAAACAAAGTTATAACTCTGCAAATACATGGATGCTTTAGCACTAATTTGATAAGGGAAATATACATTCTTTCATTGGCCCCTTTCATTCCAATAGAGATATAGTTCTCAATCCTTGAGCTAGTGAAATTAAACTATCAACTAATTTCAAGGGGCTGGTCATTCAAGGCCTTGGAATATATCATAATTCAACATAAATATCTGTAAATTCTGATTTTACAGATACCTAAAACTTAGGATATTCCCAATTTTCATAAAAATATCATTTATTAAGTTGATGGATAGAACCTGCCTAAGAAAACCTGTTATTGTATTCTCTCCAGGGATTTTCTATTCTGAGTCTGGGACTCATAAAAGTTGGCAAAAAGTTAAAGACATCTAAAACTGAACAATTTTCTCTTATACACTGAAACATGTAGTTGTTTGTTTGTTTGTTGAGACACGGTCTCCCTCTGTCACCCAGGCTGGAGTGTAGTGGCACAATCTTGGTTCACTGCAACCTCCACCTCTTGGGTTCAAGTGATTCTCCTGCCTCAGCCTCCTGAGTGGCTGGGATTACAGGTATGCGCTACAACGCCCAGCTAATTTTTGTATTTTTAGTAGAGACGGGGTTGGCTAGGCTGGTCTCAAACTATGGACATATGTTGGCTAGGCTGGTCTTAAACTCCTAACCTCAGGTGATCCACTCACCTCAGCTTCCCAAAGTGCTAGGATTACAGGCATGAGTCACCACACCCATTTTCGGCATGTAGTTTCTTAATGTTTCATGTTGTTTCTTGCTTCCTTGTATTCTAGGAAATTTTCTCCTGGAGGATACCATTCACTTTTTTTTTTTTCCTCTCTGGCCAATTCTTATTTGTCCCTTAATGCCTAATAATTACTTATTACATGTTTTTATAGTTGTTTATTTGTCTCTAAAGTAGGACAGGGCTGTACTTGTTATGCCCAGTGCTTGAAGGTATATAGGGGGTTGGTCCCCATAGTTGGAGACTCAGAAAGAGCTAAAAAACAAAATGAAAACAAATGAGGTTTTGCCAGTGAGGTAAATAAAATAGGGCACATGGAGGTATCTGTATTGAAAGGAACATAAAGGTAGAGTGAGAATGAATTTAACTGAATAAACTCGCATATCTGTGGCTGCTCTGTCTGTGCAAAAATCAAAAAACAAAACAAAAAAAAAACATCACCTGAGATATTCCTAATCACATAGAAATCCTGGGTCTTCTTTTGCCTTACGACTATTCCAACATTTTCATATCCTCATGTATGTCCATGTGTGAAGGCCACAAAAATGAGCTGGATAACAAGAATGGAAAAATTATAAACTTACCCATAATGTTAATAACTAGTGTTCTGGTTTGGAAAGTAGGGAGTAGCCTCCTTTTATATTCTTAGTCTTTCCTGACTGCTACAACTGGTGTGACGCCCTTTTTTTCCCATTATTTGGTAGCATATTTTCTTTTCTCTTTTCCATGTATAGGTTAATAGCTAAATTAATTTCAAAGTCTGCATATAAACTACTTTACTCTTGAATATAATATTTCATTAAGTTGGAATCTTAGCCAACATTCTCTCACTATATAAGAAATATGAACTTATGGACATGAGAAAACATGTCAGATTCTTAGGGACAGAAATCTTGAACTTGAGAAAGTTATCCCAGTTTCACTGATTTTTTTAATACAACCTAAATATAAATAACTAGTCACGAAATGGAATCACCATGTTTTGCTCTGATTGTTGGCAAAGGAAATTTGAATTGCAGAGAATGTGCACCTTCTTAATCAGAATTATTTTAGTATCATTGGAAAATGAACTCCATTGGGTTAGCAAATAAATGTGAATGGAGCCTCTCCAAGAAATTAGACATTTTAGTCTGTTTTCAAGGAATTTCTAGGCTCTTGATTCTGTTGTTCTGTTACATTAGCCCAGGCCTGTTGCCTCAGGCCCGTAATCCCAGCACTTTGGGAGGCCGAGGCAGATGAATCACCTGAGGTCAGGAATTCAAGACCAGCTTGGCCAACCTGGTGAAACATCATCTGTACTAAAAATACAAAAAATTAGCTGGGTGTGATGGCAGGGGCCTGTAATCCCAGCTACTCAGGAGGCTGAGGCAGGAGAATCACTTGAGCCTGGGAGGCGATGGTTGCAGTAGGCCAAGATTGTGTCATTACACTCAGCCTGGGCAACAAGAGCAAAACTCCATCGCAAAAAAAAAAAAAAAAAAAAAAAAGCAAAAAAAGTATGTTGTTTTGTATTATTCATAGACTGTGTAAGTATGCCTGTCATTTCTTCACAAGATATATAATAATATTAACACTTAAAAGTTCTCCAAGAATGACTGATGCTAACTACATAACTCTTGCTTTTGCAATTTTTTTTTAATTCCTTGTAAACTTTAAAGGAAACCCTTTTAAGCCATATTGGATTTTTCCCTAGGGAGTTGGCAGTAATTATTTAAAACTATTCCTTTTTGTAAATAATTATTGAATCATCCCAGATATATGTCAGGAGGCTTCAGCTCTACATATCAAAAGACCAATATCTAGGTAGCATATTTGTGTTTAGAAAGGCTTAGTCAACAGCCCTTAGCATAATGCCCTATATCTTACATAATTCAAGGTTAATATGTATTTCAAGCACATACAGTAGGTCTAGCTATAACAATTTTGCACCTGTGACCTTTGTGACACAGATCATGATCTCTATCCTTGAGAAGATGGTAACATAGCAGAAAAGGCAAATGTGTATAAAATTATCTATGAAAAGTCCTTAAATGTATGTGTTTATGTGTTTTTATAAGACCCAGAAAAAAGAAATTATTTAGTGTGCCTGAGATTGGAAACACATGGCAGAGAAAGTGATTTTTTATTTATAACTTAAAATATAAGTCAAATTGATCAAAACAGGGAAAGTAAAAATAATCGGGTTTGGGTAACTGTTATAAAAATAATTAATTATAAAAACATAATGTGAAGGTCATAAGTATTAAAAGATAAGACTAAAAAATTGACTAAAGAAAAATTGGTATTAAAAATACATGGACTTTAAACATTATAATTCATGACAAAAGCTTAATAGCCTCAATCAGTACTCAATATTTAAAATTTAATAAGAGAAAGCGAATATTTTCCCATTGGTAAAAGGTATAGGTAATTCATAAATGATTAATGTACAAATGTTCAACAGATGCAAAGTGTTCAAACTCTCCACTAATAAAGGAGAATCGAAATAATGAGATTAATTATTATATCTTTCTGATTAGCCAAAACTTTAATGATAATAGCCAGTGCTGGTGAGATTATTGAGGTACAGACAGTCTTTTCATTTCGTGTGAGAGTATAAATTGAAATAATATATTGGAAGGCAATTTGTCCATTCTGATTTATTTAATTTTAAAGACACTTTTCCTTTGGCCTATAACTTCACACACACACACACACACACACACAGAGAGAGAGAGAGAGAGAGAGAGAGAGAGAGAGAGAGAGAGAGGGGAAGGCTTCCATTTATAATAACTAAAATGGCAAGTCCAGGTGAAATGTTACGGACTTTAAAGTTTTAGAAAGGTGTCTTCAAAATGATTGACTAGATTCATCGTATGCACTTACTCCATGGAGTGGAGCCCAAATGGCAAGTAGATGATCACAATTTGAATAGATCATCTAAGGGAGAATACTAGAATTCAACAGAGAACTGACAGGAAACACCAAAATCAA